ATAGCATGAATAAATAAACCTGTAAAATTACCTGTTTTTTGAAAATTGGTACGACATTTTTGGATCGGGATGGACTAAGCATTGCATCTAAAACTGAGAACATCAAAACATTCGATTGCAAAGGAATATTTAAAACCCAATTCGCATTCGGGAAATGCAAGTTACCAATCGCACCACATAGCTTTTTATATAAATTTTCTTTATTATTTTGATCTGTACCAGTGTTTTCCACAGAGTTTGACACAGATTTTGAAATTGAAGTGAATAATTTTATTCCATTTCTCGACTTAAAATTGATCAGAAATAATAATAAATTAGAATGTGACTGGTTGAGAAAAACAACACAAATTGACAGAATTTTTAATTTTAACTCAGAACATACAATCCATTAAAAAATTAATATAGTTTCAAATTTAGTTAACCGAGTGTTTTTACTTGCTGACAAAAAATGTCGTTCATGCAATTTAAAAATAGTTACTAATATTCTGAAAAAGAATAATTATCCATCTGAATTTATCAAAAAACACATACACAAACGGATTAACAAATATAAAAAAGGGTAGAATAATTCTAAAAAATTAATAAATCAAAAACTACCTACAGTTGCTATTCCAAATAATTGCAACATCTTTAAAAAATGTTCTTCTGTGTTAATAAATCATGACATTACTCCAATCCCTTTATTACAAAAACCATTACAAGAATTCATTCGTTTAGGAAAAGCCAAATCTGATTTATTTGACAACACTGGTATTATCTACAGTTTTAACTGTATTTTGGTTTAACTGATTCTAACTATTATTAGTTTCTAAAAAATTTTTGATAGTGAAGGTAGAAGGCTGATCGGTCTATAAGATGTTATCAGTTCTGGTTGTTTTCCAGGTTTAGGAATTAGTACAATCTCAGCTACTTTTCACTGGAAAGGAAAATAGCAGAGATGCAAGCATGTATTAAAAATAACCGTTATGTATCTTATCGCAATTTTGGGTAGCATTTTAATCATTTTTCCCATAATATTATCAAATCCGGGAGCTGTTTTGAATATTATTAATAATGAGTAATACTTCCTTTATTTTTATCTATTTGATCGGAGTGCTATCTTGGGCATCAGATACTTCTAGTAAAATTTTTTCTTCCCGTTCGGTAATTATTCTTTGGTGTGGCTGTAATACAGTGCTAAGGTGGTTTGCGAAGGTTTCAACTTTTTCCTCATCTGATCTCGCCCAGTCACCATCCGGTTCTCTGATAGGTGGTATATATGTTGTTGGTCTTTTAAGTCTTTTTGTGGCTTTCTATAGTGAATAGTCTGTTGCTTCTGTTGGACTTATTGTTAGTCATATTTGTAAGCCTTTATTAAGATCGATGAGGACGGGATGATAGATGAAGAATAGATATATATATGTGTGTGTGTGAGGTTAGATTTCACTCGAGGGGAGTGTGGACGTGTCTTGGATGTGAGCGTGAGTTTCGGTGAGAAAGTCAAAGAGGAAAAGTGTTTGAGGAGAGAAATAGAGGTGAAAAGAGCGTGGAGGTGGAGGAGGAGTGGAGAAGAGAGAGAGAGGCCTGGAGAAGAGCAGGAAAAAGCAGAGAGAAAGGAATAAAGAAAAAAAATAAAAGTTGAGGTTAAGAGAGAAAATCATAAAGCGGGAAAGGCAGGCAGAGAGGAGGGGCGGTAAGAAGTGCAGGCAGAGAGGAGAGGCGGTAAGAAGTAAAGGCAGAGACAGAAAAGGTAAGACAGGGAATAAAGGTGGGATCACGGGTAGTTATAGAGAGTCGAATTAAGGCGTACGGGATAGGATGGAAAGATTTGTGACAACCCTGCTAAAAAAGTTCCATTCATTCCTATTCGGGATCATTCATATTCAATGGTAATCAATGAACTGAATGGTTCAATGTTCCGATGACGATTGAAACTGAATGATTTTCAATAATACTTCATGGTAAGCATAACTAATAGTAAAACTTACCATTAAATTTAATAGAATTCAATCTTTCTGAATAATACTTTGTATTGGAATGGTTTCAATGATAATCTATCCAATTGCATTGAATGAATATTAATCACAGTTCAATAAAATAATTAATCAATGATATTTTATTGTATATCTTTCTATGAATTTTAATAATTTTTCGATACAATAATTGTCCAATCATATTTTATTGAATCATATTATATGGATATTAATTTTTATCCAATTACACGGTTGGTCAATAATATTTTATAGAATGGTTTTCCATATATGCCAATATGAGCAAAAGCAATACTGTAACTTTAGCAATATTTCATTTAATAGTTTTTTTTTTAATCTTAATGATTGGTCAATATAAAAATAACCCAATCGCATTCAATGAGGTATAGTATTCTATAATTTCTTATGAAAGGCAAATAAAAAAATTTCAAATATTTTCAATTGAATATTTTTTAATGAAATCTAATGATTGGTAAATGCAAGTAAAACTCAATCGTATTCTATTGAGAAGTTGTTTGTATAGTTTTGAATAATCCTTCATTCTACAAACTTATCAAATATAATTTTATTCTATAATTTTTCATTAGATGATGAAAGAAAAAATTTCCATAATTGAATGATTTTTTATAAATTTGAATAGTTGTTCGATACTATAATTGAAGAATCGTATCTTATGCTTTGGATATTATAATTTTATATAGGTCATGAATGAAAAAACTCCGTATATGATTTGATTGAATAGACTTTTATCAATTTTAATAGTTTTTAAGTAAAAACATATTCGAATATAATTTTTAATGGGTATTCGATTTTTTTTCAATTGTAAATAAATGGTTTTTTATGTACATCAACAAATTACAAAAATTGATATGAACATTATTATTGGATTTCAAATGAATTGGGCATTTTGCATAAATATCTAGCATTTCTAACGTCTACCAAAATTATTTTGCAATCTATTTCACCAATGGGTTTGATGAGATCAATCTCGTTTTCGCTTTGAATTTTTCGGATATGAGTCACTCCTTCAAATGGATATTCTGGAAATACGTTGTACGTTTGTACAACAATGTATGAATCGTCGTCATGAGTATTGAGTTGTTACGACTTTCGTATTCAAAACTATTGAAAATTATTCAACGCCACAAAAATCCTTGATTAAACAATAACAAACTATTCATACCTATTCAATGAGATTAATTTCTGTTATTGCATAATAGTGGATTGATGTGATCTTCACATTAAAAACTATTCAAAATTATTCAACGTCAGAAAAAAAGTTGATCATGCGATAAAAGACCATTAATACCCATTCAATTAGATTGATATTTTCTATTGCATATTATTGAAATGTTAGGACTTTCATATTCAAAACTATTGAAAATTATTCAACGATACGAGACTTGAATGTTGCAATAACAAACCATTGATATCAATTCAATCAAATTGATTATCGCATTCGAATGGTTTCAAATCTTCGATTTGACCACGAATTTTACCATTGAAATCGATTGGGTAACATACATGAGAAATTTCATTGAATACTATTGAAAACCATTACTTTAATAGTATATTTTTCTATTGATAATGATTAATCTCGATTAGGAATCAATAGTAATCTATATTATTGGAAACAATAGTATTTAATATCTTGACATTTCTTGTTGGATGAGGAATCATATTCAATGGTCATTTGGAGTGTTCAGATCGAAGATTGAAAACCATTCAGAAATTCTTCAATGGTTTTCAATGGAACTTTTATAGCAGGGAACAGAAAAATTAAGAGATAAAGGTGGAAGGTTGGATACGAAAGGCCCAGAGGAGGAAAAGAAAAAAAGAGTAAAGGTGGTGAGGGGGACAGAGAGTGGGGAGGGGCTGAGGGAGAATAATAGAGGAAAAATGAGAAAGGCAAAGAGATGCAAGAGTGAGAGCAAGGGAAGCGAGATGGATGGGTAGGGGGGAGAAGGATTGGACAACACGATAAGAGAAGTGGGAAAAAGTAGTGGTACGGAAGATATAATGGAAAAGATACGGACAGATATAAGGGAATTAAGAGAGGTATGGGAGAAGGAAAGGAAAGAATGGACAGAAATGTTTAAAGAAATAATAGAAAAAATGGAAAGAATGGAGGCAGAGGGGAAAAGAAAAGAAGAAAGGTGGGAGAAGGAAATAGGAAAAGTTAGGAAAGAACAAGAGAGAGAGAGAGAAGAAAGAAAGAAAGAGACGAAAGAAGAAAGGGAAAAAGCAGAACGTAGAGAAAAGAAACTGCAGGAAAAATAGGGACAGAGGATGAACTAGTTGGAAGAATAGTGCGTGAAACTAAAAGATAGTATAGAAGGACAAAACGAGAAGCAAAGAGGAACAGAAGTAGGCAATAAGGAAGAAATAGAGTAAATGAGAGAAAAAATGGATAGAGAAAGTAGGATAAACAATATAATAGTGACAGACTTAGAGGGTGGGTTAAGATGGGAAAAGAAGGGAGAGGCAGAGGACTGGTTAAGGGAGGAACTAGAAATGAAAGGGGAGATAGTGAATCTGAGAAAAATAAGAGGGACAGCGGGGAGGGATGATCGGAGAGAAAGAGGAAAAAAGATGTGGCAAATTAGATGCACTTCATGGGAACAAAAAGAAGGAATTATGAAGAGGAAAAAGAAGTTGGGACAGAAAAAGATCTACATAGATCAGAACTCGACCTGGAAGCAGAGGAAGATAAGACAGGAAATAAGAAGGAATGCGAGAGAAATAAAAAGTAAAGGTAAAGAGGTAAAGATGTGGCATAACGGGTTGAACTCAGAGGAAGAAGAATGGTGGTGGAGCGAGAAAGAGGAAAAAATGGTAGGGAAAAAGGCGGAAGAGTTTCGAAAACAATAGGGAAAAAAGAGAGAGAAAGGATGGGATGGAGAGAGAGGGAAGAGAGACAATAAAGATACTATTCTGAAACGTGACGGGGATTAGGAAGATGGAGAGATAACATATATAGGAGCGAGAAGAATGTCTACGATGGACCATGTAGTAGGTAACGGGAAGGTCATGAGGTAATAAAAAGAGTTTATATAAAAGAGAGGGTAAAGTCGGACCACTTACCAGTAGAGTGGAATTGGGAGATAAAATAGTAGAAGAAAGAAAAGAAGAGGAAGGAAAAATGATAGACGACTGGAGCGAAGAAAGTATAAGAGAGTATCAGAGATGGATAGACGCAATAGAGGGAACAGAAAAATAGAAGGATATAAAAAATAAAGTGAGGAACGCAGTCATAAAAAAGAAGATAAGGAAAAAAAAAGATAAAAAAAGCTAATTTGAGAGAAGAATGTAAGATAAAAGGAGCTAGTGTGATGGCAGAGTTAAATAAGGTAAGAAAAGGGGAAGGGAACAGAGACAAATACCTTGAAACAAAGAGAGAATACAGAGAGGAAATAAGAAAGGCGAAAGAAGCTGAGGGGAAAAGAGTGGCAGAAGAAAGAAGAAAAGATAAGACGAGAAGAAAATTCTGGGATAAAGTGAATTGCAATAGGAAGAAAAGAATTGGATTTGATGAAAATATAGGAAAAGAAGAATGGTTAAAGTATTTCAAAGGACAATTGGGAGAGAAAGAAAAGGAAGAAAGCAAAGGGGAAGAAATCGAAGACAGCAAAGGAGAGGAAGGTGAAAAAATTAAAGAAAGAGAAGTAAAAGAGGTAATAAGAAAAATGAAAAAGAAAAAGGCGACAGGAGAAGATGGTATAGCAAATGAAGCGTGGGTGGAAGGCACGGAAGGCTAGTTAAAAGATATGACAAAATGCTTAAACGGAATATGGAACGGAGAAGGATATCCGGAAGAATGGAGGAAGGGAATAATAGTACCAATACATAAGAAAGGGAGGAAAGAAGAAGTAGAAAACTATAGAGGAATAATGCTGATGGACACGGGATATAAAATATATGCGGAAATACTGAGGAGAAAGCTGGAAAGAGAACTAGAAACTAAAGAAACGTTAAGCGATACGCAGATGGGATTTAGGAAGAAAAGAGGAACAATGGACGCAATATATGTATTGAAAACAATAATAGGGAAGGAAATAAGAGAAAAAGGAGGAAAACTGTTTGTATTCTTTGCCGATATGAAGGCCGCTTTTGACAAGATAAAGAGGAAGAAAATATGGGAAACAATGAAAGAGAAAGGGATAAATAGATAAATTAGGAAAGAAATAGAAGAAATATGTAAGAAAAAAGGGAGTAAGATAAAAGTTGGAGGAGAAATAATTGGGGAGTTCGAGGCTTAGAAAGGCGTAAAGCAAGGGTGCCCTTTGAACACCACGCTATTTAATCTTGCCTTCGCCGACCTGGAAGTCAAGATCAAACAGGTGCAAGAAGGAGGGGTAGTGATAGGAAGGAAGAAAATATGGACATTAGGATATCCAGATGATATAGTAATGATGGCAAAGAATGAAAGTGGAATGAAAGCAATGCTGAAAAAATTAAAAAGGTACCTGGAAGAAAGGGGATTAGAGCTAAATGTAGGAAAATCAAAGATGATGAAATGCAGGAGAGGAGGAGGAAGGGGAAAAGAAGAAGAATTCGAATGGGAAGGCGAGAAGATAGAGATGATTAAAGAGTACAATTACTTGGGATATGTGATAAGCAGAAATAACGGAATTAAATAGCAGATAAAGAAGGAAGAAGGGAAAATAAATATGGGACTCGGAAGACTATGGGGGCTAGGAGAAAGACTATTTAGAGAAAATTGCGAGCTTAGGATGAACCTGTTCGATGCTCTGGCGAAAAGCGTGATTATGTATGGAGCAGAAATCTGGGGATGAAAGAGATATGAGGAAATAGAGAGATTACAACTTAAATACATAAAGTGGGTATTGGGATTAGATAGAAACACGCCAAGTTACTTAATATGATGGGAAACAGGAAGACAAGAAATCAAAGAAACAGCATTAGAAAAGAAGAAGAAACGAAAAGGAAAAAGAAAAAGAAAAATAAGAAGACGAAATTTCAAGACCCTAAGGATAGAAGGAAACAGAAGACAGAGACGTTGACTTGCAGACACATCTACATACGCAAACATACACACAAACACACACACACATGCAAACATACACATACACATACACACACACACAAAACACAAGTACTAGCAACAATACAAGCGAGAGGAAGCAGGTATTGGATGCAGGAGCAAAAATGGAAAAGAAGAAGAATCGGAGAATAGAAAGAAAAAGGATAACAAGAAGACAAATTATAAGATACTAAAGAAAATAAGTGAGGTTGAGGAAAGGAAAGGCAGAGGGAGCAATAGGAAATAAGAAAATGATGTCAAAGCCCTAATAAAGAGAAAGACAGATGAAATGATTAGCAAGAAAGAGAGCAAAAGCAAAATAAAGGCAAAGGTGAAAAGGCAAAAGAAAGTAACAAAGGAAGAAGTCGGAAAAAAATAAGCAAGAAAGAGAAAAACAAGAGCGGAAAAGGTAGATCTCAGAGAGAGAGAGAGAGGAAGAGAAAATTAATCAACAGAAAAACGGGAAGAAAAGCTGAACAGACAGAAGCAGAAGACAGGGACGCAAGAGTTGCAGACACACCTACATACGTACACATATACACATAACACACACACACAAATACACACACACACAAACATACACATACACACACACACAACACATACATTATCAATTACACAAACTGTAGTGTTGGTGCTGACTTATCCAAAGTTTCTTTACTACTTGTCAGTTTAATTATTAAACTGACAAGTAAATTAATTATTAAACTGACAAGTAGTGTTGGTGCTGTCTTATCCAAAGTTTCTTTAGCAGGAGCAGTGGGAATAACAAAAGAAAAACGAGATGATTATGAGAATTTATTAAAATACTGTAGTCCTGCTGGGCAAGAGTTTGGAAACAATTTCCTAAGCAAGACAACTGTCAAAGATGAAAAATTGGATAAGAAGATAAAAAAAGAGCAAGTAAAAACAGAAGTGCCTGATAAAAAATCGGAAAAAGAAGTAAAGCAAAGTGAAAAAAGGAAGGCAGCGCCGAAAAATGATGAGCCACCAAAGAAGAAGTTAAAACCAAAAGAAAATAAATCGAAACAAGCGAAACAAAACCCAGAGGCAAAAAAGAAGTTACGCGCCGAAGAAAATAAATTGAAACAAGCTGAACAAAGTACAGTGAAAAAGAAGTCACAAGTCAAAGAAAATAAATTGAAACAAGCGAAACAAACCCCAGTGGCAAAGAAGAAATAAAGTAAAACTGTAATAAAGTGAAACCTATAGCTTTATTAGCATTTAATTTATTCTAGTAAAATCACATTCCCTTGGCACGCCAAGTTTATTTGCTTAAGTATATAGTTTTATGTTGTAAATTTTGATGAATCAAAAGATAATTCGTACTGATCCAAGATGTAGTCGAATAAGCGTGTAGTTTATTAATAGTGTATGGTTTGTATTGCGAGCAAAGTATTTAATAAAACTAATGGCTAGTAAAATTTTTTATTTTTTGTTTCAATATGAATTTATCCATGGTTGGATATCTAATAAGATTAGTATATTGTACTTGTTATCCATGAAGCATCGATGATTTCGTGACTGTTGTGTGCGGGGAGACGCCGCTACGCCTGTCCGGCCGAGGTCCGGCGGCGGCGGCCCGCGCGGCTGTTGCCGCGAGCACGCAACTTCGGTAAAATCGCTATCCTTCAGTCATTATTTATTGAATCGATTTGAAACTTTGTAGAAATCTTCCTTGATTGTTAACGAACAAATGTCTCGCGAACAGTTATTCGAGTCTTAAACTTCCTCGCACACTTTTTGTCGTTGAACGTACTAAAACCGTATAACCCGATATTGTTGACTTATAATTAAATAAACAATTATCATTGTTCCACATTGATCCGCTTATCGGTTCAACGCATGCGCTAGATAATAACACGTAATTCAAAAAAAAAAACGGCTAATTCGGATGATTTTTGACGAAGTTGGAGCGATGTATTCGAAAAAAAAAAATTGAAAATTAGTTTTGGAAATTTTGAGGTAATAATTTTTATCTCTGAAACACGATATGCTACAACAAAATGGTAAATATAAAAAAGATGGCATTTTCCATGAGGAATATGATGGTATTTTTTTTTAATCACTTTTTTGAATTTTGAAAATGAACTCTCCGTGAGTCACTTTTTAGAAAGGTCACGCGTTAAACCCCTTATTGCATCCGGCCCCTCAATTGAACCATTGGAAAAAAATTATTTTGTAATTTGTATTCATCTGAAAAGCGTAGAAAAGCCAGAAAATCATCTCTTTAAAAATCTATTCTCTTGGCGAGAAAATGTTGCATTTCCGGGAATACAATTACAATATATTTATTTCAAAATCATAATTTTATACCACTCTGCGCTTATATGTGTAAGACTGCTGTACGAAAATATTATTTTTCTTGATAAATAGGGGCTAAAGGAACTCAGCAAAAAGTTAACGCAAATCAACCGAAAAAAATTATAGAAAAATTGCGCGTGATTAACAATGATAGCAAAAGTTATTTATAACTCCGTGCAATTCCATTTTCATTGATAGAAAATTTATCAAACAGATCATCGATAACTGTATCTGCGTGGAATTTTAATAAAGTTTTTAGAGAAATAAACCCGTTCAAACGTTAGCAAAAATCGTGCAGTTTTTCTATCCAATCAAAATATTATTATAACCCCTGCTACAACAAGAACATTTAACCGGATTGAAAATCCAATCCGCTTTGAGTCTATTTCTGAATCCTACAAATGACAATTGAAATTCATTAAAGTAGGATGAATCTTAATTCACTTTAATGTTTTTTTATCCCGAAATTAATTTTACATATTATAATAATTAATTTCAGGATATAAAAATATTAAAGGGGATTCAGATCGATTCCAGTTTGATAAATTTAAATTGTTATTTGTAGGATTCAGAAATAGACTCGAAGCGGATTGGATCTTCAATCCGGTTGAATGTCCTTGTTTTAGCAGGGACCATCCGTTAACGAATAAATATTATTCCTCAATACAGTCATGCACCTGACAGTTCAGTCGGTAACATAAATCTGTACACTTTTATTATTGTAAGGCACACTCTCAAATTATAAGAGCTGTATTAATAGGAATGGGCTATTTTCTGAAATAACCCATTCCTATAATATATATTATATTTCATAAAATAATCCATTCCTATTAATACAGCTCTTATAATTTGAGAGTGTGCCTTAAAATAATAAAAGTGTACAGGTCAACAAAAAGTGTACAGATCAAACATTTTAAATTCTTTATTGTATCTATACGATATCTAAAGCGTAATGCTGAAATAAAATTTCTAGAGCAAATTGAACAGAATATAAAAAGTTGATTTTGTTACTGTTTTCGTCAGCAGTATGTTTTAACACGTCAGCATTTGGTTCAGACCTGTAATATCTAAATTAAAAAAGAATTAAAAACAATAAATATAAATCTATAAAATTTTAATAATTAAACATACTTTGACACTGTTTCACAATTACTTTCAACAATTTCAGTGTTAGACTCTGTTTGGACCGAAGTCAACTCTTTCCATTCTGTTCAATTTGCTCTGGAAATTTCAATACGATATTATGCTCTAGATATAATTATCTTATATTTATTGACTCATTTATTGTCAGCTGTTCTATCCCTAATAAAGAAAATGTTTCAAACAAGAATTATAATTTACTAAATTTACCATATGACCTATATGAATTTACAGAGTTCAAATAAGAATAAACTGCAACGGTAGTCGATTCAATTAATCGCACCGTTCGCGATTCTAAATTTCGCGCGTTAGTTCTAAGTATTGAGAGAGAGGGGGCGCGCGATCTTTCAAATTAGCAGTTACGCCTCAGCTGTTGATACGAGAGGATATCGCCGGAATTTTATTTGCACTGTTTTCTTGCCGAGTGATAGTTTTTCCAGAGTAATTACGCGCGCGAGTGCAACAACGTGATCGGCAGATTACAGCATCACGGTAGCAGCATATTTGCAACTGATAGGCGGTACGAGACAGCGCAGCTGATATAACAGTTCCGGAGGCAGTTGATACATTTTATTGGCATCAACAATTACGGCTGATCACCGTAATTGCACCGCAGGGTAGGTGCACCTCCCTTTACTATCGCGTGTCAAAATATATTTATTATTTTGCTCAGCCGCGTTAGCGTTGATAATCTTGTATTCGCGCCGAGCGTTAGATCGCGCCAATATTCGAATCTTCTCTCTCTCTCTTTCTCACCGGAAAATTATTTAATTGTAAATCCTATTCGCGTGCGTCAGTCTTTCGGCCCGACAAAGACTGTATAGATTTTTTATGAATAAACTTTATTAACTTATTCGCCGATTTCGTCATATGATTTTCCTAATAGTTTAAGAAATTGAAATAGGCTTAGGTGTTAATCCTATTACGCCTAGGGGATTAAGCGGAGAAGGAGTAAAGTCGCTCACACTTCAAACTCATCGAGTGTCACGATACATGTGACTTAAGGTGAGTTCAACTCCGTTTGATAGAAGACAACAAAGAGAAATCATCTGACGTTAAAGCGAAGACACGTACTTACATACGTGATTAACGGAGCGGCGGTTTGCTCTGCATCGTGGGAGTTTGCTTATAAATAAATTTCCCATTTTTGCAAGGATTCCCCCCCTGTTACAAAACTAATTAGGATTTGACCATTTATGACATGTCTACATTTTTCTTAATTCTTTAAAAAATAGTATGAGAATATAAACTATATTTGTTAAAATACCTCTTTCTTCGGACTTTTGCTCTTACTACTAGGCAAATTGTATATATAATTGTATATAATTGTATATATTCGAATTGTACTTGAAAATATATAACCAGTACTTCCCGAGGCTAACATCAATTTAATATGCTGATGACCAATCAATAGCTATATATTATACAATTGAGAATTTTCTTATTTTCCCTCTTTTAAACAAAACTAATTTAAAACTCGGAATTCGGACACGGTATAATGATAGAACAGCCACAAGTGTACAACATACCTAGATGCGTTATGAATAGGAGAAAAAGAAGATTGGGATGGGTGACCGAATGCTCATCGCTGTCAGTGCCGACATTTGGCTACTGGGTGGGAGCTGTGTGTCAGTATTTAAAACATTCTTTTTATTGCTTAACAACTCTGTTATGAACGAACAAATAAATGTTTGTGATAACATTTACTTTTTGATTTAGGAACAATCTAATTTCATAATAAATTTTTTTATAATACGATAAATTAGATTATAGATGCTAAATTTTAAGAGACTCCTAATTATTAATAATTTGTGGACGTTACCATCCAATATAATAAAAATAAAAAATTTAGTATAAAAAGACTGTAGTAAACTTAATTTAAATAAATTAAATAATAAAAGAATTATGGACGGTCAATTATTGGTAACAATCTAATTAGATTATGACAAATCTATTTGTTTTCAAGATCAGTTTATGGCAGTCAGAATAAATAAAAATGAAATCGTTTAGTTTCATATGATAAAATCTTTCTTTCGATCATGTTTTAAAATATTTATTGTTTAGTTTATTTTTTTGTATATAAAATAAATTTAATTATTTCAGGAACCTGCATTATACATGATTAAAGGTATAGCTATTCTTGATAATGATGGTAACAGGATCTTAGCCAAATATTATGACAAGAACATTTTTCCAACATCTAAGGAACAAAAGGCGTTCGAAAAAAATTTATTTGGTAAAACGCATAGATCTAATGCAGAAATAATGATGCTTGATGGGTTAACATGTTTATATAAAAGTAACGTTGACTTATTTTTTTACGTTATTGGTTGTGTATATGAAAACGAGGTTTGTAGTTTTATATAATGTGAAATATCTGAGTGTTGAATATCAAGATATAATTAAAATATTCTTTATTCAATGTCTTATAGTTGATTTTAATGAGTGTATTAAACTGTCTATATGAATCTATTAGTCATATTCTTCGAAAAAATGTTGAAAAAAGAACTGTATTAGATAACTTGGATATAATTATGCTGACTATTGATGAAATATGTGATGAAGGGTTAGTTATAATAATTAATTGTAAAAATTTTAAGGATTATATTTTATAATTAACATTTTGAATTCCAAGTTTTATTGTTAACAGTTAATAACATAGTTTCATGGGTTGTAGTATCATTCTTGATGCTGATGCTACAAGTGTTGTTCAAAGAGTATCTTTAAGGACTGATGATATACCTTTAGGAGAACAAACTGTAGCTCAAGTATGTTTGAAAAGAATTTTTGATTTGTCTATAATTAATGTTATTACAAAAATTTTCAAATATAATTTACAGGTATTACAGTCTGCAAAAGAGCAATTGAAATGGTCTCTACTAAAATAAGATTCAAATATTGTCATTTTCAATAATGTATTCTCAATATTAAATTGAAAAATAAATTCTATGGTTGTATCAAATTTTCTAGTTAATATATAAATTTATAACAATACATTATCCTTAGTATAATTAAATTAATTTAGATTTCTTCAATTTTTTAAAGATATTTGTTGGATATTATTATTCGAAGAAATTAGAAAAATCTGAATTAATTCTTATTCTTACTATCATTAGTCCAAGCAAAGCAACACAAAGCAAAAACGTTTCATTTATTAACAAATTTAACAATGATACACATAGATGTCAGATAGTAATGAGGTAAATTTTTTTATGCCAATAATTTGGGTATGAAATCCAAACAGGAGCAGAATAAAAATATTAAGAAGTCAATATGTAAATAGTTTTAATCAGTAATAAAAATATGGTATGGATCATTAGTAATTGAAATAATTATGATAAGTTTAATTTACATATAGTAAATTATTTGATACAAAAATATACAATCATTGTATTATTTCAATTCTCACCGTTTAATATTATATATGAATGTTACAATTTTTTCAATAAAAGAACAAATTACTCTAAATAAACTGAAATTGAGAAGTATACATAGAAAACAGTGATCTGCTGAGAGTTAAGGATGTATAAGAAGTTGGAGGTTCTATATTCTAACTACATTTTTTATATATTCTTATATTAATGCATATCTCTGGAAATATTCAATTGAATTTAATGAAAGTGGACAAATTTGGAAGGGTATGGTTTCAACGTGGTTACGTTCAATTATTGAATTGATTGAAGCATAACTCTGTGAGTAATTACAAAAAAAATTGAAGCCGGCTAATTTTTTGAAGAGTTAATCTTCTTACAAATTGAAGATTAAAAGTTTGTAGATACCTTTAAAATTAAAACAGGGATTTTTGATTCAACGTTTCGTCAGTACCTCACTAGAAATAAATATATAAATTTTGTACATAATATATACGAAATTTGTAAAAATCTTTTGTAATTTTCGTACAAAATTCCTACACATTTTCGAAGTTATTGTCTGATGATGTAAAATCTAGTGGCATAGGGTCAGATGACTTTTATAGAAATAAAGGAAAGGCTGTTTACAGAAGGAATCTTACACTATAAAAATGACAATTCTGACATGACAAATATACATAAAAGGATATTTTAGCTTGAAAAATCCTCGAAATGTTTAAATAATCGTCTCAGTAGCATTTTTAAGGATGAATTATGATAATAAAATATCTTAATAATTTTTGTGTGAGCGCAGATTTCAAATTATACAGAATGAAATGGATAACCGCTTTATTCGTGTCATATATATGATTTAAAGACTAACATTTTGCGGAAAATTGTTTATTATGAATAACCAGACACGAAGATAGGTTCAATCCAGTTTTATTATAAATTACATATGGCTTAACAAGTTACAGTGTAGTGAGGAACGTCCGGCGAGGACGAGCGTCACGAGCCGAGTAACGCGGCAGATTCGCCGCTTCGTCTGAGAGATGGCTCTCTCGCGCATTTCCATATGCAACCTCATATTCTCAACACTCTCACTGAGGGTTACATATGCAATCATCGTCATTTATTCTAAATAAAATTATGGACGAATGCCAATCCCTTCAAGAAGTGAAAGGTCTTTACTGGCAGCGCCTTGGTCAAGATATCAGCCTCTTGGTTTGCTGAGCATAGATATTCAACTGTTAATGATTTATTATTATAATATTCTCTGATAAATTTATACTTAATATCAATATGTTTAGTGCGGCAATGATATCTTTGATCTTTTATAAGTTGAATGGCGCTCTGATTATCGACATACAGTACAGATGATCGCAATACTTTGTCGAAAATACATTTGATAAAACTCTCTGTCCAAATAATTTCTTGTGTCGCATTACAAGCCGCCAAGATCTCCGATTCAGTCGTGGAAATAGCAATCGAATTTTGTTTGTGTGATCTCCACGTTACAACAAAGTCACCCAATTTCAAAATAACACCTGAGACAGATTTTCTAGTGATTTGATCGCTTGCATAGTCTGCATTGCTATAAGCTACAATTTTTTAACAATCGATGTTGATTTTGTCAATTAGACCATGAGTTAATGTGCCTTTTATGTATTTGATCACACGCTTTATCGCATTCCAATGTAACTTAGTCGGATTTTCCGCGTGTCGGCTAAGCTCTCCCACTGCAAAGGCAATGTCAGGGCGAGTAACGTTGGCGAGAAACAACAAGTAGCCGATCGCTTCTTTATATGGTACATTTACATTACGACTTTCCCCCCTTTTTTAAAAAATTGAAGCAACAGTATTCGGATCGAAATTTTTCAATGATTTTTTCAGTAAATGTTCTTTGATGTATATGTATGGAGCCATCAGCTAAATAATCAATTTCAATTCCTAAAAATGTTTCCATATCACTAGTTGTAATTTCAAAATAGCTATTAATGTATTTCAGTAATGCAATAATTTTCTCTTTATTTTTACATGCAACAGCTCCATCATTAACATAAAGAATGAGAATTAAATTTTCACTTGAATTTCTAGTCGTGAAAACACACGGATCTGCGTCATTTGTATACAAGCCAAATTTGTTTAAACAATTGACAAACTTTGTGTTCCAACATCGAGCAGCTTGTTTCAAGCCGTATAAGCTTTTGCGTAATAAACAAACTCTGCCTGAGCCATCATCAAAACCATCAGGCTGTTTCATTAAAATCGTTTCATTTAGATCACCGTTTATAAACGCCTTCTTCACATCAAATTGTATCACATGTATATTTTGTGCAGCAGAGATTGCTAGAAAAATTCGAATTAAATTATATCGAGCCACGGGGCTAAATACGTCTTTATAATTGATCCCTTGCCTTTGTGAAAAACTTCTAATAACAAGTCTCGCTCGATGTTTATTTTTATTTGTTGTCGAGTCTTGTTTCTCTTTGAAAACCCATCTATTTGACAATATTTCAGCTTTGGGAGATCGTTCAATTAAAACCCACGTTTTAGTTTTTAATAAGCCTTCCATTTCCTCTTTCATAAAATCCAAGCATCTGATTTTTCACTTTGCAAAGCTTGTTTATAACTTACTAGCTCGCCATAGCATGCAAGAAATAATTCATCAATTTGTTCAAAATCAAAAATAAAATTGTTAATAATATCGCCGCGATCGGGTGGTTGAATCGCTTTGCGATCACGTAAGTTATATCGAGGTACATTAACTCCCACTGCTTCGAGGTCATCGTTCACTCTGTTGTTTACATTCTCACGCTCAATGTTTTCATTTTCGTTGACCTCATTCTCAAAGTTTTCTTGCATATTTTCAAAATTCTTAATAGCATTAAAATTATCTCGGTTATCATTGACGTTTTCGTTCACATTATTATTAGTAATAACAAGATTTTCATCGTCAAGTTCATCGTTTTGAATGTTATTTTCAATTTCAAAATTATTTTCATTTACATTAATCAAAATTTGCTCATTTGGCAATTTGTTTGGTACAGGAGAAATGTTCAAAGTGTAAAATTCGTACTCTTTTACTTTTTTATTCTAAGTGCAAGTAGACATTTCATTTTTAAACACAACGTCTCTGTGTGTGTCAATTTTATTTATACTTGAATCAAAAATTTTATATCCTTTTTTACAATCATCGTACCCAACGAAAATACTCAACTTATATTTTGCATCTCTCTTTTTCCTTTTCGATTTATCAATGTAGCTGTACTCTTCACAACCGAAAACTTTGAAATATAAAATTGGAGCTTTACGACCATGCCAAATTTCAAATGGGGATTTTCCATGCATTGTTTTCCTACTTCTATTAAGCACATAAACAGTTGTGTTTACTGCCTCTGCCCACAGTTTCTTAGGAAGTGATTTCGCGTGAAGCGTGGTACGCGCTGCTTCAACTAGCGTTCTGTTTTCACGTTCGGCCATGCCGTTTTGTTGTGGAGTGTATGCTACAGTCCGTTGGTGTTTTATGCCATTTTTGAATAAGATATCACTCAAATCTTTGTTTACAAATTCCAGTCAATTATCTGTTCTCAAAGTGTTAATTTTTTCATTGGTTTCTTTTTCAAAACGTTGCAAGTAATTCATAAAACAATTTTTTACTTCACTCTTATTTTTCAAAAAATACAGTTTCATATTTAGAAAAATCATCATTAAACAGTAAATAATATTTTGAATTACCTACAGAATTTTCTTCCATTGGGCCACAAAGACCTGAGTGTATCAATTCACCTACGCGCGTCGTTCGACTTTCGCTAGTTGAAAAGGGGTCTCGATGCATTTTACCCAACGCGCATGCGTCACAAAACGGAGTCGCTTGCTTGACTCCAATGTTATTGTTGTCGAGAATCCTTTTCACCTGCGCGAAATTTTGATGCACTAAACGCTCATGCCATAACTGTAAGGAATTTTTATCAAAAGTTACATTTTCGTTTTCCTTCGCTACAAACGAGTTCTCAAATCCACGAACTTTAATTTTCATGACGAAAATATTCTCACTTTCAGCTTTTTCACCTACAATTACGGCCTTATCATCACGATATAAAGTGCATACGGTATTGTTCGAAGAACAAGTCATACCTTTCGCAAGAGCTGATCCCAAAGAAAAAAGATTGAATTTTAAACGCGGAACATATAGTACATCAGCCATGTGTTTTTCGACCCACTCGCACCCATTGTATACAAACACATCGATGCGGCCGCGGCCTTCCGCGAACACAGTATTTCCATCACCCAAACATATTGATTTTTTGTCAGCTGATGTGAACGCATCATACTCACTGAACCATTTGCACTTACTTGACATGTGTTGTGACGCTCCGGAGTCAAATAGCGAGTCCGCCGAGAACCGTTTGGAGTCGTTCACAGAAAAAATGACCTCGCCGATCAGCGCATCGTTGCTTGCTCGCTGCTCCGAATTCTTGTGACGTGGATGCTCCTGTTGAGGCCTACTGCCTTGTCGATGCCAACAGTCACGTTGTTTATGCCCTTTGTTCCCGCAAGTCCAACAGCCGCCTCCTTTCCTCGAATTGGTCGCTCCATCAGCATTTGCAGATTTGTTGTCTCCGCTTTC